CACAGTGATCCCTGAACCTTCAGGGAGAGGTTTGGTATAGGTGTCCTCTTCAGAGATAAGCACTCTGCTGTCTCCTAAACTTTGCTCTTCAGCCAGTTGTTGGTCTCTGTTAATAGCCATCTGCTGCATAGGGAGGCTTCTTTGCTGAGAGCTGAAAGATGCATCAATCTATGTGTACAACAATAAGTCATTAGAAGTTGGTTTAATACTATGGCCATTTAGCATAATAATGGAAGTAGACCCTCCCCTCTAGTCTATGGCCTGTCGAGCCACAGGTTATCAGTTCTTGATATGAGTGTCAGGTTTGGGATCCATCGTATGAAGCAGGCCTTAAATGCAATCAGAATGTGGTGTGTTACTCTCATAATGTTTGTGTCGCGATTGCACCAGTGGGCATGCCTTGCCAGGCCAGCTGATGTGGAAGCTGGCATGATCCTCAACTGGGCAAAGTGGATGATGAATGTTCTCTTCTGGTAGCACGCATTGCACCTTCCAGCACTGTCAAAGCTAGCCAGTCTAGATGAAGCTCTGAAGTCAGTACCACCTTGATTTCTCCTTGTTCTGTAGCTTACTTATGTAATGTTTTCAGCGGTAGTGTCCTACTGCTGAGTTCTGGTGGGTAACCAAGAGCAGAGGCAATGGCCAGCATCGTTTGACTGTCCTATCTAATTGCTTTTCAATCAATGCTTATTGATTTATGGTAAAGATCATATCAATTACAATTAAGACTGAAATTTCAGGTTTTCATTTTAACTATGTGATGCTAAGCTAATGGATTGTTAGACAGACACAAAGCACCATTGGAAATGGCTGTGATGGGTGCAGGAGAGACAGTCCCAAACTGTCTTACCTTTGTACTGATATTCCAGAGACTAGGAAAAGCAGCCTTCAACTCCCAAATCCTCAGATGGTGAACCCGTGGAAACCCATATCCAGGGAAATTAGCATGCATGATCCTAAATCACAGGCCGTGCAGAGAGTGTAGGAGAGCTCCACACCTTCTGAGCTGGGAGGAGATTTTTCTCAGTAATCCCTAGCTCTCGGGATTCAGATAAATTTTATTCTACAGTGACTCTGGCACAAGTATTGAACTCACAGAACACAGTGGGCTGACAAATTCAATGAGAAAATCAGAGAAAACCTTCTACAGGAAGGAAAGGGTTGATTGCAGATCTTCATGAACTTATGTGAACACACTGACATGTGTTTATCGGGAATAAGTACATGGCGCTCAGAGGAAACACTTGGGTCTCCAAAGGATTTCATACATCTAACATCTCTTCTCTGTTTCATAGGAGGTACTGAGACCATCAGCCCATCAGAAAACATGTCAGACCCCAAGATAGGTGAGTAAGGAGAATTCTCAGTTATAGGACTGGACACAGCAGCTCCAGTCCAGTCCATGGAAAGGGACATATCTTGGGTGGATACCTGGCCATCGTGTGAGAATTTTAGTTTTTCCTGACCACTTTTTCCACAACCACAGCCTCACAGCCCCAGGATCACACAGTGGAGAATCTCATCAGGATGGGTGTGGCTGGCTTGGTCCTTGTGGTCCTTGGGATTCTGCTGTTTGAGGCTCAGCACAGACAGAGAAGGATTGAAGATGCACTCCAGAGATGAACAAGAGACAGAACTTTGCCCTTTATGGTGGAGTCTAGAAAATAAATCTGATGATTCCATCATGAAAGAAGATACAAAAAAGATAAGAGTCAGAGGATGAGGAGGAGTGCTCTCAAAAGCATTCTTCTGAACAGCACAGGCTTATCATGCTCATGAACTAGGAATTCAAGGAATGGAACCTTAGATCGTAGGTGCTCCTGGCCTTCAAGGGTTTGGATTTCTTTACTTCATGGGACATTTGCTAAGTGTCTGAAGTGCGGAACTGAGAGGCATAAGTGTCTCTAAAAAGGAAAAGTCATGTATGTTATTTGGAACACAGCAGAGGCCGAATTGGGAAATAGTTGTTTTACTTCCTGTGCAAAGTTCTCTATTGAAAACAGGATGGGATGAGGAAACACACCCATGGCGTCCTCTCAGGCAAGGTAACCTCTGGGATCTTTCCTCTCATCTTCACAATCACTGTGGCACAGTCAGGAAAATGGCCATGTGTCCCCAAACTCACCACACTTCTGCCTACTATTGAGGAAGGATAATGGGTCAGGTTTTTCATCGTGCTTTCAAAGTTGGGAGAATCCTTGAATTTCACTATCATAATTCTCTTTCATTATTTGTGTGTTATTAAACTGTATATTCATAATTGTTTCCAAATAATCCATTTGTGATAGAATTACAAAACCTACACAAAGTGAAAACTTAGAAGTTGCAACTGGCAAGACCATAGAGGCACAGCTGGCCAAGCCTTTTGAACTCATCATGCAGCCCTGTACCCTAAATGATAGACATGGAGCTCTGATGTGCTATGTGCCCTGCTGGGCTCAAGTCTCACTTTGATCTGATCCTTCCTCCCTGATCTGTTCTTCTCTTTGGAGCATGAAAGTTTACTCTGCACTTAGACTTTTCAACAGTGTTGGAGCTTTTAAGACTTGAGGACTCTTGGACATGGACTAAATGTATGATGGCATTAGATGGCCATCAAACTGTGGGTGCCAGAGTGGAATGTTCTAGTATGAATATGAAATGTGCCCTATAGACTTGTGTTGGGTAAGTCTGCAGCTGGTGACACTTGGGCAGCTCTAAAACTCCAGGAGGCAGGGCGTAGGTGGAGGAAGTAGGTCACTAACAGCATGTTCATGTCCTGGTCCTCTCTCTGTTGGTCTCTCTGCTGTCCTGGCACCATGATGTTAATTACTCTGCTTTGTTGTGCCAACCTGACCATGATGTAATGACACCTTGGAAACCATGAGCTAAATAAATCTCCTCCTCTAAAAAGTGATTGCACCCAAGTGTAGCTTGGTGATCCAGTGGGTTTAATTAGGTTTCCAGCAGGAGCTTATAGGAAGATCCACTTACCAGAACATTGGCAACTCATGGGCAGCTACAGCACCAAGGAAACAAACCAGTGTTTCCCTCCTAGCAGCTGTTAACTGCCCATACATGCTCTGGGAGAGATGGGGCCTTATGAGCTACAGCCCAGTATCAACAGTTACTGCCTGTGTATCTTCCAAAGAGGAAAGGAAAGGCACAGTAACAGAGCATGGATGGGCCCTATCTTAAGTAAGTCAGGGGCAGAAAAATACAGTTACTGTGCCTGTCGCTCCAGCCAGCCCTGTAATGACAAAACCTGCCACTGTGACTCTTCCCTGGCATGCTGACTCAGGGGGGAGAACACAGCCTCTCCTGGACCCTGGATTCACAGTAACAGTTGTAGAAACCCAAGTCTGCCTTGCTCAGCAGGGAACCTTGCTTCCACAATGGGATAACGGATTGGCAACAGAGTTACAGTTCTGGGACTTGTGCTTTCCTTCACAACAGGCCAACTTTATTCTCTAATAGCAAGCCTATATACCCAAGAGGGACTAGTGGGTACGTTCAGGGTCCAGATTACATGTAAGTTCAATTTGGACAACAACAAAGGGTGCTCATATTACGTGTCACATAGGTTGATCAATCCTTAGTATAGAGGGTTGTTTGTTAAAGACCAGGGAATGTGTCCGATTGTATTAACTAAGATGTCTTAATTTTAATTACACACATACTTGGTGTTATTGATTAGGCTATTTTTCACCTCTAGATCAAGGAAGTCAAGATGTTTTTCTTAGAGCAAAGAGACTGTAAACTTTTAACCTGGCCAGCTGCCTTATGCTAGTCATTGCAGAGTTCTGCATGACAGGACTGTGAGTCACTGTTTTCAGTGATTTGCCCCTTCTAGCAAAGGCTGTAGCCTGCTCAAAAGTTCAGGTCCATCTTGTCCTGAGTCCAGCCATCTTGGTATCCGACAAACAGTCAAAATGGGGAGTTCCAGGCCCTACTTCTCTTGGACTTCACTTTAGCCCCAGTGGGACATTCAGATGTGAAGACTGAGGAGAAACCCCCAGGTGTGGTCAAAGTAACCACCTTAAGCCCCTGGTGTCACGTGAAGACGCTGACCTTGTCCTGTCTGAGCTGACATTCACACAAAGCCTTTGGTCAGGTGAGCTCTAGATTTGGATGGGAGTGAGGAAAGCCTAAGAATTTCAGCCAGAGGGAATCTGCCCTCAACAGCTGAGAGTGATCAGACCTGGAGTCTCCAGGACAGCTGCCCTTCACCCTCCTGTCATCTCCTGCACATGCTTAGGATGCTGGAAACCCCTATGTTCAACCCTTAGTACCAGATGATAGCTGTTGAAAGCAGGAGAATCATTTTGGAAGGTGTTCAACTGTTAGATTCCCCATGCCCCAGGGGATGACCCCATACGCATATACATCTGGACAGCACTCACTGCACTTAGTGGGTTACCAAAACAAAAAGGACATGAAATAGGGAGAGGATGTTTTGGGGTGATCTGGGGAAGTTGGAAGGGGGAAATGAGTAGTAGATATAACTATATTTTATTGTTTACATATCTGAGCAATGTAAGAATAAAGAAAAAAATTAAGCATGATGATTCCAGATATTTCTGTAAGACAATCTGACACATGATGGGAGCTGTTGTCACAGAATGTCCAGTGAGCAAACGTTTTTTCAGTTCAGTGGAAAGTTTAGGTATTGGGGTGGAGAGCTCTCCTCCACTGCATTAAGCTATATGTTTCCCTCCTCCTGGCTGTGGAATTGTGAAGACTATCCACTCTCTTCCTGCTCCATGACCTGAAGGAACATCCCACCCCATCCACTAGGTTCGGGTCCTCACCTCTCTGGTCTTCTGCTGTCCCTCACTCTGATGTAACACTTTTCTTTACATTGCAGATTTGCATTATAAGCCTCTATTTTTTGATTGAGAATAAGAACTCGAGTCAAATAACGAAACATGAACAAAGATAATACTCAGGAACAAAAAATAAGAAAACTTAGATGATGCCCCAAACTTCCTCTAGAAACTACAAAACCTTCAGTCTTCAACATGTCCTCTTTCTATGGTTTTCCTGAAACGTAAAGACACAGTAGTGTTTGATGGAACCCTTTTGTGAGATAGGGTTGTCGTGGCTCTGAAACTTTTTCTTTTTTGAAAATGTCCTGATGTGTGAGGTGTGGTGGTACACACCTTTAATCCCAGCACTCAGGAGACAGATGTAAATGGATGCCTATGAGATTGAGGCCAGCCTGGTCTACATGGCGAGTTCCAGGCCAGCTGTGGCTACAGGGAGACCCTGTCTCAAAAAGACCAAAACTTTTAAAAGTCCTGATGTGTTATACTTGCTGATTTCTGTTTATAATCATTTCATGGCTAAAGGATGAATGTCTGGACTTAAAGGGCCCCAAGTCTGGTTAAGTAAACCTCAGTCCTGAGTTAATTTCCAGCCTAGGAACTGTGTCAAACTCCTAACTGGGAGACTCTGTTATCTGGGAATTGTGAGCCGCTATTGCCTCAGAACTTCAAACCATGTCACCAGCACTTGCATTGTCCCCAGGCCCCCAGACCATAAACAAACAGCCACCATTTCTTTTTAAGTTTCACACCAGCTGTGCCTTGATGCTGAGTTTCAATCTCACAGAGAAACTGTGGCCCTTCATGGTTCTCAAGCTGTTCAGCCTCCTGGCCTCTGAAGTAGCCAGAGGCAAGGGTCGGTTGGTTGCTTGCTTTGTGTAGCCGGAAAATTACTCACTCCTCTGAAGAGTGGCAAGCCAGCCGGATGCAAGATGAGGAGCACCCTGGGAAGAAGGGTGGAGCTGCCCAGAAGATGGAGAGTTAGCTGCGGAGAGTTAGCTGTGGAGAGCGAGCAACGGAGAGTTAGTCGAGGAGAGGTAGGTTAGTGGAAAGATTGGAATGGAGAAAAGCATGTGTGGGCCGTTAGGGCAAACTGCAGCATCCCTCGGGGTGTGGACACCCAGTGGGACACTTAAGACCTTGGCCATGAGTGCTCAGGGGCCCACAGCCCACTTGTTAAAACTTAACAAAAACCAGAACCAGCCTTATCAAAAGGCTGCAGGACAGGCAGGCGTCGGTCAAGCCTCACAGATGAAGCCATAAACAAGACAGAACTCCTGACCACCCTGGGGGCCCGATACCAGGAAATCTTCTGTGCTTCTGAGGCCACCTCCCATTTAGCAATCCCACTTCCCCTCAGCCCTGGCCCTTACCCCATATCTCTGCATACCTTTGAAATTACTGGTAAAATTACTATGTGTGTTTGAAATTAACCAATAACCGCGTTTCTGCTTCTGTACCCTGCTTCTGCCTTATAAAAACCCCCTGAACTCAACCTGGGGCGCGCTAGTCCTCCGAGGAGACTTTGTGCCCACAGGTACCTGTGTCCTGAATAAACCTCTTGCTGTTGCAACCCAAAGGCTGTGACTTGTCCTCCGTGGTCTCACTCTTACATCACCAGCACTTGCATTGTCCCCAGGCCCCCAGACCATAAACAAACAGCCACCATTTCTTTTTAAGTTTCACACCAGCTGTGCCTTGATGCTGAGTTTCAATCTCACAGAGAAACTGTGGCCCTTCATGGTTCTCAAGCTGTTCAGCCTCCTGGCCTCTGAAGTAGCCAGAGGCAAGGGTCGGTTGGTTGCTTGCTTTGTGTAG